CAATTTTAGTCCTAATTTAAACGCAATTATTCTCTACCCCACCTCTACTTAGTCTCTACTTGCAATTACCTCTGTTGCTATCCTGACCTAAGTTGTAACATTTTAGTCAATTTTACTGTGTGTCATCTAACTTACCAACTTAACAATCTTACTTGCTATCTAATTAACCTTGTTTCTATATTAGATCATTTTTGTATTACCTAATTAATTATCTAAACTTGACAAACTTCACATACACACACACAAATAACTGTATACAAATGCGATTGTACAGCTATGTGAATGAATTCGCCGTCGAAAAGAGTCTCTTCGCTGAACGTCTTCTCTTTTCCATACGACTCAATGGGGATTTTTAAGCTACTTAAAACAAACATCGTCGATCATTGAAAATGATGTAATTTATGTTGTTCTTTTGTGTGTGTGTCACTATGCAAATAACTTACCTCCATTTTTTTTATAAACACCAAAACTGTTTATTCAATCTTGTCTGAAACAGACAACCTGTAGAGTTCTGTTTATTCATTTAGCGTCATCTATAATAGAAATTGTAAAGTGTTAAATGTCCAAGAATTTTTATTTTTCAATCATTTTTCTGTAATATGTGTTCTTTTGATTGTTCTGAAAAGTATCTTGAGTTCCTTGTTTACCTAAGTGAAATCATCTAAAGAAATGCTAAAAGAGCACTGAAGGGAGGGATTTTTCTAATATCCGAATTTAGACCTCTTCGGTAGCAGGCATCTAGCTCTGAGGAGTGCCTCGTTTTGCAGCAAACAGATTTTGATTCCTTCACTTTAATTCATTTTCTCTCGTCTTTAATAATATACACTACTGATTTTACATTGCTTCAACTGGCCAGTACACACATTTTCTCAGCTTTGTGCCCTTGAAATACAAACGCAATCTGATAAAGTGATTGGTCCACAGAGCAAGAGAGATTTACTCGGATGAATGTCTTGACGACGAACTTAACAATATTAAACGGTGGCTAAGTGAGAATGGTTATCCTGAAAAGTTTATTGATAAGAATCTGAATCTGAAACCAAAGCAGTCCAAGTTACCAACAGTTCCTAGGAGACAACACCAGTGAGATACTAACACAGCGCCTTAGAAATGAGGCGGTGAAAAGGGCATTCCCTGTTGCTCAATTATGCTGTATCTTTAAAACCACTTCTCTTCTTCTGCGTTCGGGAATAAAAGATAAAATGCCTAATTTCGCCTCTTCCATGTGTATCTACCAATTTAACTGCTTCTGTGGAGTGAGCCAGTTACATAGGCCGTACAATTAGGCGTGTTTCTCGTCGAATTTCCGAACATCACCCTGCCTGGTTGGTTAAGCAAAGGACAAACGAAATCTATTCGCAGCGCTATTCTGTCTCATCTTGTGGATACAGAACACAAAACTGATTGACGTTAATCATGCTTTCAGGGTCATTTACCGCATACCTACGAATCTCAATTTTGCTTGAAGAGTTCGACTACTAAATATTGCTGAGGCTGAGGAGATTCATATTAACAAGCCTAATTTATGCATCCAAAAGAAGTTAGTTCAGACATTATCCTTACCACTTGGCCATCCAGGTTTGAATAATCCGGAATTTTTGTGGAATTTCCCTAATTTCAGTTGATATTCTATTCGCTGTTATATCTTTATTATTATTATTATTAATATTATTATTATTTAAGCATCTTCAATGAACTGTAATCGCATTGATCATACTTTACAAATCGATATTATTTAAATTTACTTTTATAAAAACAACCAGTTATTCTTCCTGGCCTGACTGAGGCTATTTCGCTTGTCGGAGACTGTGCTCATCATTAATACATCTTTTATTGTTAATTTCATTCCTTTACGCTCCCAGTGGGACATAGAGGGCTTCAAGCTTCTTAAGCTTTGAAGTTTCAATAGCAGTGGTGTTTTTTTACGAGGTGGGGTTGCTTAGCCTCATCCCCAACCTTCCCTCTTTACCGGTCTTATTACTGGCTTAGCAAGGTGAAGGAGTGCGTTGACAAGGGATCGAACCCCCCGAAGCACATGCATGATTGGTCAGTATCCTACCGCTGTGCCACCGGAGCATCTGAATCGGTTTAATTCACATGTATGTTGGTCAGTTTGTCTATTGAATCATCTTGATTCCCCCACCAAGTATTATTGGTTTGGCGGTTTGAAACTACTCATATGAACTGGACAGTAGTAGTTTGGGGGTGTTTACTTTGACACTATTCTATTTTCCAAGGTAGAATGTTCAGTAGTAACATAGTTTTACATCATTCGATTTTTGTGTTTATATTAAGTTGAATCAGAATTATCTTAGTTTTGATACGAAGGAATAGAACAGATCAACTTTCAGGGAGGGTAACAGTTTCTTCTGACTAACATTATTTAGCCCCTATATTCTGGTTTTTTATTTTACACACTTAACAAACCTGAAATCGTTTATAGGCGAAACTTTAACTTATTAAATATTCATTTTCAGCTTAAGTCCTATAATTTCATATTAGATAAGTTTATTTGATATAACATACAGTGAGTGATGCAGGGATGGATCAGCCATACTTTGAGTATACCATCAAGTGACGTCGCGGGCCAGGTCCTCGAGTGGAATTCCAATGGGAAGTGACGAGTGTATCGTCTTAAGGTGACACATAGGAGATCGTATGAGGAGGAGATGAGAGATTGAACTGCCGCACATATGTGCAAAGTTCTTTGTCAAAAACAGACAGACAGCCCCTGACTGCGATGGATGTGTACTGATTAAGAGTTCAAAACTAGGACGAAACGGCTGTCCAGTACTGCTTTCAGGTTCTCTAACTGATGTCAGCTCATGGTGAAATTCTGTAACCAATATTAGTGTAGGTGTGTTCTATGAAATGAATGGTTTGTTTCCTAAGCTTTCATTGTCTTTGTAGACAACATCTTCAATGCAGACTTCAATGTGAAGTAAAACTTATTTGAATTCTTTGCCAGTTATATTATTATCTTTTTGAATGACTCTGGTTGCGATTAGTTGTTAACTTATATAAGTATCGATCGTTTTTATTGACCTATAAACTTTTGAATGTTTTAGTCGTATAACATCCCCTTTGTAAGTAGATGAATTTATTTCATGTTAATGTGTCTAGTGATGATTACAGTGATTCTTCTCAGTACCAAACTGTTTAGAATTTCCTGGCATCTTTGGTATTTCTTTAGTTTAGAATTTGTACATCTTTCTCAGTCGAATTCGTATCCACTGTTGTTAACGTCTATTGATACGTGAGAATGCATAGGATGTCTTTACACAGCCAGTTTATGTGTTTCATTTATTCTTTTGCAGTGCACATGTTCCATCCGATTTCATGTTTTTTTTATTCAGGTCATTTGACCTTTTTCCCCAAGAAGAATTCTTCTCATGAATGCTTTTTTTGTCTGCTGACACTGATTAAATAATAATAATAATCTACTTTATTCCAAAAACAGTACTAATAATACAGAATGGAATTCTCAGCATTTGTCATAATATTGCATCTGATTTACTTACAATATAAATAAAATTAAAATTTAAAACTAAATTAACTGGAGGTATTTGTCCACATTTACGATATGAAGTCAAAAATATTCGAAGCACGAATTGAGATTAGTAAATATATTAATAATAATAATAATAATAGTAGCAGTGAGTTTGTTTCAAACGGTATTGTCGATTCAGTTTGGAAACTTTAGCATGTTTTAGATTATTGAGTCTAATGTTCTGTTGATATGGTATAGTGAGGTGAAATACAAAGTTAACAGTCATTATACAGTTTAATGCCCACACTTATGCGAAAAAATAAACAAAACCAAAAAAAATTGAGAGGATTATAAATATAAGAAACACAATAACAATAAAGTTTGATGCTGTAAGGGTGAAGGAGATGGTTTATTTAGTGGTGCAAAGAAGGTTAGTTAGTTAGTTCATGTCTGACACTATTTTCATCACATAAAGTACGTGCTAAATATGGTATAGTGGAATTTTTATACTTAGACGTACGTGCATAAATTCTTCTGAAAAGAATTCTCGTTTTATCTGAGGAGACACAAGGTTAGAGCTGCGAGTAGAGTAGGTGCTCAGAGTCTGACAAAATTCCTTCAGCGAATTTGTTGCATGACATCAAGTGCCTGTCAGTGACAATGTCAACGATATGGCCCAATGGGATACCACTCGTTCTACTGACAGTCTTCAGAGTTCCACAAAGTATGACATAGTCCTTTTTAAGCAATCCAGGAAAGAATAAGGGTGAACAGTAGGGAAGAATAGGTAAAATACACGAGTTGACAAACTGTAAGAGGAGTGGTTGGGTTATGCCTGAGTGCCTTAACTTCTTAATATAAGAAGTAAGACGAAATATTCTTTTAGAAATCGCTAAGACATGGGAGGACCAGGATAGGTCCGAAGAGAGAATTAATCCAAGATACTTAACTTCAGACTGCGTTTCTATATCAGTATCATCAATTTTGCAAGGGCCATAGGAAGACCTTTATCAACAACTGTCTTCGTTCTATACTGAAGATTAGATGGCCGGAAAGAATCACAAACAATAAACTATGGGAACAAACAAAACAAGAAGCAATCGCTCAACAAATATGCAGGAGAAAGTGAAGATGGATTGGACACTCACTGGCTGAAGAGGCCACTCACTGGGTGACATCGCGCGTCAGGCCATAGCTCGAGTGGAACCCGAAAGGGAAGCGGTGAGTGGGACGTCAGTGGAAGGGTGACATGGAGGAGATCGTGTGAAGAGGAGTTGAAACAGTATGGATTAACATGGATGCAAGTGAAAAGTACAGCAGAAGACAGAAGCAACTGGAGGTGTGCAGTTGAAGCCCTATGTTCCACTAGGAACCCAAGTGAACAATAATAATAATAATATAGGGAGCCATCTCTTTAAGAAACGTCTATGTCTATGTCTATTTTCATAATTTTTATTCATTTATGAATTCATCTTTATTTTTCGTTTGTTTTTTTAAAATTTTTTTATAGGCAAGTTTGACTAGTTCCCACTTAGTTCTAAGACGTGCAGCCTTATCGTGTTTAAGACAGTTAAGTCAAAAAGAAGCTATGGATTTGTATGGATATATGACACGATCAACACTACCATCATCATCAGATGACATACTTCCACCTGCTTTATCAACCCTATCAACTTTATCCAATAAAGACGACAGTACTAGTAATAATAATGGAGATGTGTCAAAGACGACTGATTTCACTAATTGTAATACAAAACTAGAGTTACAACTGTTCAGTTTGTTAGATGTTGAAATGGACTATCAACTTCGTCGAGATATTCAAGATACATTGATTGGAATGCTGCATGCAACTGGTACATCACATCTAACGCATTGGTTTTCAATTCTGAGGGAGGTGTTGCAGGTAAGACATGTATATATATATATATATATATATATATATTGATACAGACAGAGTGAGCGGTGTGCATGTATACATTATGATCACTTTGACTGGACACTCGTAACTAGTGTGATGTGTCTAGTCCTTTGCTTGGTGCATACTGAATTCTATCAGTCTATCTATCCTTTAAAATTCATTAGGAAGATTGAAAAAGGCCAAAAGAAAAAAAGAATTGGGAAACTAGTAATAAGAACATAAATAAGAGAATATAAGTCATCTACAGTTATACCATATAAAGAGGGGACATCTGAGACCCACCCTACTTAGGATTCTGAATAAAGCAGGAATTAGGGTGGCATTTAAACCTACAAACTCACTCAGGTAGGACAAGCTCTGTAGGCTAAAGGACCCTGTCGGTTGACGCAATTAGACAAAATAATATAATTTACAAAATACCCTGCAATGACTGTGAGTCAGGTCAACTACATAGGTCAAACTAGTAGGTGTGGGGTAGTCAGATTGTCAGAACATAAGAATTTAGCTAAGGTAAGGATGATTGACCCTGAGAAGATAAGTAATTTAGAAAAACACTCAGCTATAGGACTGCATGCACTAACACATAACCATACAATAGGGTGGGTGGGACAGAGTCAAAGTTCTAAGAAGTAATCTAGGTAGGTGGAGAGAGAGGTTGATTACTGAATCCTGGTTCATCGAGCCTACACCCAACACATGCAATAGGAGTGACTCATCACTCATACCCGAAATGTGGAAAATATTACTACCAATCAAATCAAGTGAAAAACAATGGAACTATATAAATGAATTTAGGAAGTCGTGTGATTACCTTGATATGATTATGCGCAGTAATAAATTGTGCTCGAAACGTCATTAGTAAACATTACTGTATAACACTGTGAGACTCTATCCAAACAAAATTTACCCATAATGGAATTACACTCTACCACAGTGCACAAGTTTTATTCCTCTATCAGTCAGGTTTGTAATGTGGCCACCATTCTAGGCAGCTCGCCATCGCGGTGCACATTGATTTGATGTGATATTAGATGGTTGGAGGAAATCGGCCACAGGAAACCTTTCCCAACCCCTAGGCTTCGTGCTTGTTGCCACTCACCAGTCAGCAAGGCGTATCTGCAACCAGTCAAAATATCCACTACACAGTCCTTCAGGAGGTCAATCGCTAGCCCGAATAGCTCAGTGGTAACGTCTCTGACTGCAGCACTGCACTGGGTGACTTGGGTTCGAATCCCAGAAGGGAGATGAGTTCCTTCAAGGCAGTTGAAGATACGCCTTGCTGACTAGTGGGTGAGTGCCAACAAGCACGAAGCCTAGGTTGGGCAAGGTTTCCTGTGGCCGATCGCCTCCAACCATCTGATATCATTGAATTGTGATCACTTGCCTAATTTTGTGTGTAGCATTCGGCTGGATTGATTTATTTGTATTGAAATCAAATGGTAGTCAAATATTTCCCTTCATTTAAATAAACATCAAGGAGAATGGAATTCAGTTAATAATAATAATAATAATAATAATAATAATAATAATAACAATAATAATAATAATTTGCTTTATTCCAAAACAGTGCTTGTGATACAGAATGGAATTCTCAGCATTTTTTTTTTACTACAGTAGTGCATCCAGTTAGTACATTATCAATAAATAGAATTCTACATAGATTAAGCAAATCCCAGTTCATTATGACAACAAAATATTGGCATGTCGGTAGCAAAGCCAAAGTTGAACAAAATGTTTGAAGGTGTTAGAAAAGTAGGTGCTGCCATATTTACTGGCGTAAGCGAGAGAAAGAAACAAAGCAGCACATAACAGAAAAAAAGAGGGAGAGGGAGAAAAGGAAAAGAAAGAAAGAAAATGTTGTACCTATAAATGATATGAGTTGGAAAGGCGAGGTCTAGTTGTACTACTGACTATTTAACGAATTATTATAGGTGTCACGCCTAATGCTTACTTTATCGCACAGAACACGAGCTAAGTAGGGTATGGTTGAGTTTTTGTACTTGCTTGCTGATGTGAGCATATAGTTTTCTCTATATATAGTTTTCTATACAGGCTTCTGGTTTTGCCTGATGAGATAGATGCAAGGAGAGAGTTGTGAGTGAAGAGGGTGGTGTGAGTTAGATGAAATGGATTTAGCCCATTTTTCACATGAGTGCATGTTACCTGTTAACCAGAATATTAACAAGCTGGTTAAGTGGCACGTTGCTCACGCTACTGACAACCTTTAACATCCTGCGTAATATGATGTTATAGTCTTTCTTCAGTACCCCGGGAGAAGCCAAACCCGGGGAACAATAGAGAATAATAGGCAGAATGCGAGAGTTAATGAATTGTAGGAGTAAGGGTTGGGTTGGGTTATACCAGACATTCGTCTTAACTTCTTGATGTAGAAGGTAAGACGGAATATTTTTTTCTTAAAAATCGTCAAGATATGAGACGACCAGGAAAGGTCAGCAGATAGAATGACGCCTAGGTATTTAATTTCCGACTTGGTTTCTATTTCAGTGCCATCTATGTTGCACACCTCGTGAGAGCCAACCAGTTTGTTTAGGTCGGATTTATGCCTAAAGGTGAAATTGACTATTTGGGTTTAAGGTAAGACCGTTTACCTTGGACCACTGGCTGATTTCTGACAGAAAGCCATTTAATTTAGAGCGGTCACTTTGATATTTGACAGGCAAAGATACTGTCAGGTCGTCAGCATATTTGACAAAATTAATGTCATTTGAAGATGGTAAGTCATGTAGAAAGAAAGAAAAGAGAAGTGGGGAGAGTACAGCACCTTGGGGGACGCCAGCTTCAGTGAGCGCAGCAGAGGAGGATTTGCCTTTGTATACGGTGTACTGCATTCCGTTAGAGAAGTAGGAATGCAGTTCACTTATAAATTTGAAAATTAACAAGGAAAGTTACGAAAAAGAGAAAGTGATGATTTAGACACTAGTGTTAACCGATGGAGGACTCAGTAATCTCACTTGCATTATATATGCAGTTGGCAATATGGTATGCATACTATGTGAAGGCTAAATACATGGTGCTTTATACCACTGAATACTGATCGATCGGTGATCGGTAGCTGGTTATCACACTGACATCAACCGCTAGTGCTTGCTACACCTAGGTCGAATTGATATAAACAACAAACGACGACGGCTTTTTCGTTCGTTGTGAATCTGAACGATTCCGCTTTCCAAAGGGAACTGAAGTTGGATTTCCCCTAGAAAAACTGTGTGTGATTCGCAAAATTGCGAATTAGAATGAATTAAGGTGTTACCAATTTGTGCCGATGTAAGCTGGCTTTCTGGGATTCGATTCACTCAGCTGATTCGAACTGATCATAGCCGTTGACGATGAAATTGGCCGTCCGGTGGTTGGATCACTTCAATCCAGCTAGTGAGCAGCTGTACGGGTTGGCTTTGTTGGTATCCAACTATGCATACCAGGCAATCACTGGTGTGTGTATAATGTGATGCATTTACGCTTGCTTTCTTGTTTTCCACTTATATTCCTAGGCAGGTAACAACACATCGTGTGGTCTAAATATCCTCAGTTTTCATAGGAAACAAACTCGTGGTGAAATGACACATCTAGAAACGGCTTCACCTACTTATGAATTATCTAAATATTTAGCCATGGTATTAAATCCCCTAAAAATCCACTCGAAATCTAGACTAACTAATTCTTATGAACTCAAACATAGATTAGATAATTTAAAATTAGATAATGAAGAAAAAATGGTTAGTTTTGATATTGTCAGTTTATACACACGTATACCAATAAATATGGCTATAGAGGCAGTCAGAAACGAACTCATTTCTGACCAAGACCTCGAACTTAGGACAAAAGTGCCACTTGAGGACATAATGCTGGGAGTACAGCTATGCCTGACTTCCACAGTATTTAAATTCCAAGGGAAAATATACAAACAAACTGAGGGAGTTGCCATGGGATCACCAATATCCCCAGTTGTAGCAGATATATTCATGGATAAGTGGGAAGCATAGCGATTAAAACGTTCACCCCCACCCCAAAAGTATGGTGGAGGTATGTAGATGACACATTCACTGTACTTAGAACACAAGATATAGATAGGTTTTTGGAACACATCAACTCGAAGGTTGAAGCAATTCAATTCACTTATGAATTGGAAAATCAGGAAGGGGAGCTCCCAATGTTAGATTGCAACGTAAAAAGGAAAGAAGATGGGAAGTTAAACACAATAGTGTTTACAGGAAACCCATACACTCAAACAGATATTTGGACTTCCGATCGTCCCATCCTATGTCAGTAAAAATAGGATTGGTGAAATGTTTAAATGACAGAGCACAAAAACTAAGTAGTAGTAGTATCCACAACCACCCACCCTCTCCCCCGGTGAAATCCCATTTATCATTATTCGCATATTAAGTAATGAGTGGTACGGAGTTCAAATTGACATTTCTAACTACCACAACGTGTGTCGGTGGCATAGTGGTTAGGACGCTCGCCGACCATGCGCATGGTCCGGGGTTCGATCCCTGGCTGACGCACTCCTTTACCTCGCTAAGCCAGAAATAATGCTGATGAAGAGGAAAGGTTGGGCATGAGACTAGCAACCCCATCCTGTAAAATAAGCACTGCTACAGAAACTTCAAGCCACTAGCTTGAAGCCCTATGTTCCACTGGGGAACGTGAAGGAAAACAAGAACAAAAACCAAGGAAAATCTAAAACAGGAACTGATACACATGAAATGACACATCCTCGAACTGTCTGCGTTTTGTAAATTGCAAATTTGATTCTATGTTACCTGACTACAGTGGCACGTGAACCTGTGTGATCCAATGATTTGTAGTCGCGACAGCCTAAACCACTATTATTGAGTCACAGTTTCATCATTTATGTTTACTCGTTATAACTGATATAGTTAGTGTAGAGTTTAACTAGCAAATTATGACAATAGTACCACATATCAATAATTATTAAAATTATAATCAATCAAAGGTTTATC